ACTAGTGAAAATAACAACTTTACGGAATGGAGAAATATATATGTACCAATTTCATAGATAAATTATATGAAAAAAGTAGATCTCTTTAATCAACTGGATGTGGATGTCAAAAACAATAAAACGGGCATCGCATTCAACACTTTTTTTCATCGTACCTTGTCGATTACTTCATTCTCCTTCACCCTCTTGCAACAAAAATTATTAGCTTATCATTTGTATAAATGACTGTTCTTGACTATAAAAGCAACACAAGAAAATATAGAACCTTCAAGTGAACCTTGACAAGATTGACAACCGTCCAAGTCCGAAATTCTTTTGCCCTTCAAATATAGGTCTTCACATCTCTCCGAACGAATTCTATGATTACGCTGCATCGTTCTTAAAAAAAAAATTGACACTTTTTGTCTCTTGTTTTCTTCCTTTTTTAACAAGCCTATTGGATAACACCTTCTGAATGTTGAAAGCTGACCGCGTTCCTAGGCGTTCAAAATGAGTTTTCGTAGTTTGAGAGTGACTATACCAGCTCTATGGTCCAAGGACATCAGTTAAGTGGAAACCAATGACGTTTAGAATTGTCGTTTTGTACCGCAGCTAACTTGGAGTTTAATAGCAACAGCGCATCGCGATCTTTAAATGTACTTACACGAATTTTATCACTTATATTTCACATTATTATTGTGTACGTACATACAAACTGGATTATTTGTATCGTTATTTGTGTTTTAACCTTTACAATGTACTGAAATGCCCAGGGTCTAAAGAAACTATAAAACAACTCCTAGTCTTTTATGTTTCCAATGTACATATTTACACAAGCAAAATAGCATGATAACCTCCATCATATCTTACAATTTATCAATGTGAAAAAATAAAAGCATCTTTTTTGCTTCGTCTACTTTAATACTAAAAATTCAATGAATGAAATATTTCTGCCTTTCAAATGACGAAAAATGTTTTCAAAAAATATCATTAAAAATGAGATCGATGACTTGTACAAAACTTATGTTCTTCGTGTTTCACGGGTGACAACCTTATTTCCTTTTATGAAAAAAATCTCTGACCCTTTTACTTCCATGTATGAATTCTATGATTTCTTGCAGCAAATCATGCACGTTTTGTGAAAGGAGTATACGATGGATGGTTGTCATCATATATACGTTCATCAATAGCAACTGCTCTTTCCATGCACTTCTTTGCTTCCTCGTACTGTCTTAGATCTTCCAGCAACAGACCGAGGTTATTTAAATGAATGGCTAATATTGGATGGTTGTCATCATATATACGTTCGTCAATAGCAACTGCTCTTTCCATGCATTTCTTTGCTTCGTCGTACTGTCTGAGATCTTTAAGCAACGAACCGAGGTTACTCAAAGTAGTGGCTAATGTTGGATGGTTGTCATCATAAACATGTTCGCCAATAACAAGTGCTCTTTCCATGCATTTCTTTGCTTTTTTGTACTGTCTCATATCTTGAAGCACCAAACCGAGGTTATTTAATTGAGTGGCTAATGTTGGATGGTTCTCATCATATATGAGTTCGATAATAGCAAGTGCTCTTTCCATGCACTTCTTGGCTTCCTTGTACTGTCTGAGATCTTGAAGCACCAGACCGAGGTTATTTAAATGAGTGGCTAATGTTGGATGGTTCTCATCATAAACACGTTCATCAATAGCAAGTGCTCTTTCCATGCATTTCTTTGCTTCGTCGTACTGTCTGAGATCTTGTAGCACCGAACCGAGGTTATTTAAATAAGTCGCTAATGTTGGATGATTGTCATCATATGTGAGTTCGTAAATAGCAAGTGCTCTTTCCATGCATTTCTTGGCTTCCTTGTTCTGTCTGAGATCAATCAGCACTTTACCAAGGTTACCATAGTATGTTGACAAATAGGGAGAATTCTCCTCATATAGACATTTCCCGCCTGAAATGGCCTTTTTCAGATAGTCTTCAGCTGTCTTATATTCCCCTAGAATTTTTAGCATTATTGCAAGATCATTGTATCTCTCAAATACAAATGGATGGTTATCTCCATACTTCGTTTTGTCAATGGTGAGAGATTGTTCCATAAATTCTTTTGCTTCTGCATAATTTCCAAGACTATAGTAAACCACTGCAATGTTGTTCAATATTCGCCCTGCAAAGGGAATATCTAGAGTCAATTTGTTTATAATCTCAAGTGCTTCTTTTACGCACTGCTGTGCTTCCTGTTTATCTTGAGACAATTCCTGGAACGAAAGCGTCATCCCAAGGTTGGTCAGTGCCCGAAGGTACAACCCACAATTTTTGTTCATATCGTCAGGAATATCATGATTGCGCCCCAATGCTTGTTCGAGACACAATCTTGCTCTTTTATAATCACGCAGTTTACAAAGAATCTCGGAAAGTAAATTTCGTTCTAATAGATGTTCCTTTCCAATGCAAAATGCTTCTTTTATATTGATAGACATTTCAAGGTAACTTCTAGCTTCTTTTAGTTGACCATTCACGAAACACAATTTAGCGAAGATGCAGGAAAGACATTTTGCCACCAAGAGCGCTTGCGTTTTACGCAATGTCAGAAAGAATTGAAGATTAGAAGAGATGGATTTTTGCAGAGTTACAAAGTGTGGGATTAGAGGCTTGGTAGACATAATGAAGTCGTAATCAGGTTCTTCATCATCTTTGATTACTAGCTGTTCAAACGATGTAATTATGTTTGCTACACGAAGGTAATCAACTGTATTCTTCACCGTGTCTTGAAGTACATTATGTACAATCTGATGAACACGGACATCTTGGCCATCATCAGAAATGAGAAAGAGTGAAGCGCGCTCGATGTGAGATTCTAACAAATTCTCGTCTTCGTCAGGCATGCACATGAGAACGTACTGAACAACGTACTTTATTGGTATTGGATCCTGTGCAAGCATCGACAACATCTGACATGCAAACATCATGACCTCATTTTCTATGACCAGTCTGTCTAAAGCCATCTTCACTGCTGTTGTCATCGATTGTGAATAGACCTGACTGCATGTATCGAGGTAGGGTTTTTCAGTTTGTTCACGTTTTCCTTCTTTGATCTTTGCAAGACAGTGGGACCAATTTTTATTGCGGACGAACTTCATATAGACTGCAGTGCAGGCAAGAGCTAGTGGTTGATAATCAAGTGCCTTTGCAATTTCAAACACCACGTCTTTATCTTGAAATAGCTGAGAGATGGAGCAAAGAGCATTAACGCCGTCATCAGGCTTCATTCCTTCACTTAGAGTTTTGTGGTAGATTTTAGGACTTGCTAGAGGAATTGANAGCACCATAGCGAGGTTATTCAAATGAGTGGCTAATAATGGATGGTTGTCATCATAAACACGTTCGTCAATAGCAAGTGCTCTTTCCATGCATTTCTTTGCTTCCTCGTACTGTTTGAGATCTTGAAGCAACACACCGAGGTTATTACTGTATGTTGATAAATACGGAGAATTCTCCTCATATAGACATTTCCCGCCTGAAATTGCCTTTCGCAGGTATTCTTCAGCAGTGATATATTTCCCTATATCTTGTAGCACTATTGCCAGGTTGTTGTATCTCTCAAATACAAATGGATGGTTATCTCCATACTTCGTTTTGTCATTGGTGAGAGATTGTTCCATAAATGCTTTTGCTTCTGCATAATTTCCAAGATTATAGTAAACCATTGCAATATTGTTAAATATTCGTCCTGCAAAGGGAATATCTAGAGTCATTTTGTTTAGAATTCCAAGTGCTTCTTTTACGCACTGCTGTGCTTTTTGTTTATCTCGAAACAAGCYGTCCAAAGAAACTGTCATCCCAAGATTGGTCAGAGCTCGAAGGTACAAACCACAATTTTTGTTAATATCTTCAGGAATGTCATGATTGCGCCTCAGCAGTGCTTGTTCGAGASACAATTTTGCTCTTTTGTAGTCGCCAAGGTCCCAAAGGATCTCGGAAAGTAAATTTCGCTCTAATAAATGTTCCTTTCCAATGCAAAATGCTTCCTTTATTTCTATAGAATTTTCAACGTAACTTTTCGCTTCTTTAAGCTGAACATTCACGAAACACAATTTACCAATAGTGCAGGAAAGGCATTTTGCCACCAAAAGTGCTTTCTCTTTACTCAGTGCTAGAAAGGATTGGAGATTCTGAGAGACGGCATTTTGCAAAGTTACAAAGTGTGGGATTAGAGGCTTAGTAGACATTATAAAGTCGTAATCAGGTTCTTCATCATCCTTGATAGCTAGCTGTTCAAACGATGTAACTATGTTTGCTACATGAAGGTAATCAACTGTATTCTTCATCGTGTCTTGCAGTACATTATGTACAATCTGATGGACACGGACATCTTGGCCATCATCAGAAATGAGAAAGAGTGCAAAGAGCGCTCGATGTGAGTTTCTATCAAATCCTCGTCTTCGTCAGGTATGCTCATGAGAACGTACTTGACGACGTACTTTATTGGTATTGGATCCTGTGCAAGCATCGACAACATCTGACATGCAAACATCATGACCTCATTTTCTATTACTCTGTCTAAAGCCATCTTTACAGCTRTWGTCATCGATTGTGAATAGACCTGACTGCATGTATCGAGGTAGGGTTTTTCAGTTCGTTCACGTTTTCCTTCTTTGATCTTTGCAAGACAGTTGGACCAAGTTTTATTGCSWACAAACCTCATGTAGACTGCAGTGCAGGCAAGAGCTAGTGGTTGATAATCAAGTGCCTTTGCAATTTCAAACACCACGTCTTTATCTTGAAATAGCTGAGAGATGGAGCAAAGAGCATTAACGCCGTCATCAGGCTTCATTCCTTCACTTAGAGTTTTGTGGTAGATTTTAGGACTTGCTAGAGGAATTGAGGGGCCGTCTTGTGTAGTCACCAAGACCTGTGTTTTTGAAGTTGTCTTTTCTCCAAAATGAGGGAAAAACTTTGACGTCTTCTTAAGACTGACCACGTTATCAATTATCATTAACCATGAAGAGAAAAATGCCAATTTGGGATTGACGAGTCCAATCAGCTGCCAAATTTTATCCTCTGGTTGTGGATGTGTTTTCGTTGACAGAATATTTTGAATGTATTCTTCATCTACTCGCAGCTGACGAGCAAAACCGATGTACGATCTTAGTAATGATTCCAAGCTTGATGCATTAAGTGTGGCAACAAATGTCTTCGATGAAGCACTCTCAGTTTCATCAAAAAACTTCTCTCCTATTTGTCTTGCTGTTTCACTTTTACCACAGCCTGGATTTCCTGACAAGTAGACATGTGTCACCTCGTTTGGATGGCGGCTTTGTAAAGTTTTCATCTCTTTCATTATTGTGTCTACTTCACTCGAGCGT